GAAATCTTGCTTTTACGGTAAACCTTGTATCGAAAATTCTAATTAATATATTCGAATAATATTTATACAGTACATAAATAATATCATTATATGTGCTTTGAGTTAAAATATGTGTAATATTTTTGAAAGGTTTTCAAATATATCAATTTCTATGCAAAACTCAATTTTTTTACAAAAAAACATGTTATTTTCTCACAAAAAGAGCTGTGAAATACATAAATACATACACAGACATTAGATTATATAGTCTATAATACAGATAAAACTTCATAAAACATTTTCTGAAAATTTCAATTTAATATCTTAAAAAGAAATCTTGTGAACTTTACCGTAAAGCAAAAAATTGAAAAACATAGTTTCTCAGAAAATGCATTTAAATATTTATATATGAAAAATTTTCTACTAATTGTAAATTTTTTAAACTTATTTTTACAGCTCAAGTTCTCTTTAGCTTCATATTTAATTCATTTGGACTTTTTTTACACTTATGCTGTTTTCTGGAGAGTTTTATAGACTATAACAACTGTCGTTTTTAGTGAACTTTTGATGAAAAATTGAAGTTACGATCTTATATACAAAATTCTAACGGCTTGAAACTAATAATTACGGCTTTGTTTTTCTTTAGTATAGATGTTTAAAAATTTTTTAGATCCAAATACAGAAGACCTCTGTATTTCCCCATTAAAAAATATTTTGATTTTTTTTCTCTTATTCTTTTTCACTATTCCAGTCAATATTCCTTTTTCCTCTGGTAAATAATCAGTTAGTAAAGGGCTTGTACAGCAATAGCATTTATTGAAAATGTTTTGATGGATATTATTCGATGTTGACAATGCCCAGTGATGTATTCACGTGCTCATCAACGTAAATTTCCATCCTGCTGCTGTTTTCAGCATAACACATTCGAATTGTATTAAATCCATTAGCAGTGTCCCCTGACACATCTCATCCTCAACTCACTAATATAATAACATTTAAAATAGTTTCCAACAAATGAACACCAGGATCAATGGCAATTTATCAGAGATTTTCATTCTCTGGTATCTCATATCACCAAGATAATTCCAATGAAATAAAAAGGAAATCTTTTGTAGTATTTCATTTCGACTCCCATAGCAGCTGCTCAAAATCAAAACAACGCATTTGTTTACAGTAATAGTTTGGAGAATATTTATATATATGTATATATACATTTGGAACCCGAACCCTTATTTAACGAATTTTTCTTTTTTCCTATTTGAAATGAAAGCAAAAAAATCCCTACTTAATGAATAACAATACCCGAATTTACGAATTATTTCAAGTGCTGAAAAAAAATTATTAGTTTCTATTAGAAAAAAGGGATTGGAAATGACATGTCTTTTTTGTAAGTAGCCAATTTCGACTGGAATCAATGCAGACCATTATTAGAATTCACAGGTTCAGCTGAGTTATGAATATAACCCATCAAGTAATTCTGTACTGGTTACATAAGTGTATTGCCATTTTTGTTCCATTTCTTCATCTTCATCACAAATAGATCAATCAATCCGTTTCAGATTCGCTGTTGTATTCATTGGTTTCTGGCAAATATTTTGATTCAGCGTCACTTTCGTTGAAATCCAACGACGATGGCATATTCCCCAAAAAAAGGAAAAATAAACTACAAAAATAGTAATACGAACTTTAGAAAGTGAACAAACGTGCACCTTAGTCAGAGTCAAATGGAAAAATGAAATGCGCGTCGTAACGTCCAGGTCAGTATACCCAGAATTCTGGAATTTCTGGAGAAGGCTCAGTCATAGGGGAAAATTCTATGGAATGGTGTAAAGAGCATAAAATGATGCTTTAGGACAACCATTTGTGTGTGTTATTATGAACACACGATAGAAGTGATAACTGCACATTTTGTAATGTTATTTCAGGGATTAGTTGCATTGCCCTATAAAATTATTTATTCATATGTCTGTACTCATAAAGTAATATTTTTGTGCAAAATATACTGCCATATTTGTGAATTAATTGTATTCTAAGAAGTAAACAATAGGTTTATGGTAGCTGAAATAGGTTACAAATACTTGAGATACAAAATTTTATTTAAATATCTGTAAAAAAAACCTCCATCGAAGGTTGTTCCGTACTTCTTCGTGCTTTCATTTGGATCATTTGACATAGTTAAATTGAATTTTGATTTTAAAAAACAATACAGTTCACTGTATCACTCTGATGTCAACAAACTATAATTTCTGCTGCAGACGCACTATCAAACTCCACAGACATGCGGTGAATACGGCGTTCTTCTCTGTCAGCGGTGAACCTGGTGTAGTTGGACTTGTTCTTCAGAAGGTTCTTTCCCGGAACCATCGCTGCCAACAATCATGTGCAGTGGAAACATTTCTACCGAGTCTTTTTATATATATATATATAAAAGTACTGAAGTGAAGAAGTACTAAAACCTACAGTGCTAAAGCAGGAAGAAATTGGAATTCACCAGACACAACAAATGTAGATACAAAAAAGTCTTTGGACTAAACTGGAGACCTATTATGATTTCTAAAGCTGTCACTGAATTAGGCCAGCGAATTAGGGTTAGCAATGCTTTATGGATCCAACCTTCCCCGTACAGCAGAAACTTTCGACATAATAGGAAAAAAAAACCTAGTTGAAAAGCTAAGCCTAATACAACACGTGGAAGAAAAACCTGATAATATATTAAAATGAAGCTAAGAAAAGAGAACAATAATGAATGTCTCAAGGAGAGGAATAATAATAATAAAATTTAAAAAAAAAATTACGTGTAAAATAATTACTGGAGATCGAAAATTCAACCTTCCACAATAAACATCCAACGCGAAATGACTTAAAAGAAATGAACCGACTATTCGAGAATATATATATATATATATATATATATATATATATATATATATACAAATATATTGTCTACTAATGAGAGATGAACATTCATCAAGCAAAACCGAAAAAAACTGAGATTGTAAGATAACTAGACATTGAAGAATATATGAGAAATTAAAATTATAATAGGTTTTAAAATATGAAAAATGGATGCAACAGTATTTTGAACTTTTGTGGCTTAGGACAGATTATATGTAAAATAATTTAGAGTTGAACCTGTTTTTGTGTGGTTGATAGGAATCGCATAAAAATAACCACACACACAAAAAAGTGTGTGTGTACTTATGTACGCACGTAAGAAGTTGTACTTCTTTGGCGTAACAAGATTAAAATCTTTCTAAAAATCTTTAGCAGGGCAAGCTGGGTCAAGGGCGAAAGGCGGTCACGAGCAGAGTTGATCGATACTAACCTTCAGGCAATTGGACTAGCCAAACCTGAGATAATCACGTTTTAAATAAATTTAAACACCCCCCGCACAAGAACAATAGGACCAATAACATGGGGGGTATCAGACTGTATCTGGAGATGAAGTGAGCCGAATGTGACATCTGAGACCTCATATCGAATGCCTCGGAGGGAATAGTCGTTCCTGAGAAAATTAAGACATCCGCCTGAAGAGCTCCCGAGTTATGGTCATTTTAAAATAATTAAAATATTTAAAACAATTAAATAAAATAGAAGCATGGCACCCAAAAACTCGAAACTGAGCCTGGTTGTGAGCAAACACTACAGGAATCCATTAGAACCGGTCCGGAGACTGTAGTTGCAAATGAGGCTAGCTCGGGAAAGGAAAACCAAATTAACTCCCTCCGGAGGGGAACAACTGTGATGTAAATGGTCAAGTACATCCTAACGATACACAGAGTAGTAGATGATCCCAAAGTTTCATCCTTCTATCTCTGTAATATCGTTACGTCATCAAAAGATCGAACCCCATAGGAAAAACAAGGAGATTCTAATTTTAGTGATAAAGCCCCCACCCCAATGAGCCCACTGTCTACGCACGAATTATAACAAATGAAACAGCTCAACGAGGAAAACCTATATGGTTCGAGTTTCATTAACAAATCTCAAAAGTCCTCGAAGCTATGCGGGATTTTAAAAAAAATTATAACTTTAGAATAATTTAAGAATGTTAAATATGGGTAAGGAAATATTGGGATATGGTCCTGAAAAAATATATCTAGGATGCTCTTAGGAAGAACAATCGAATTCAGCCAGCCGGTGGGGTCGACCAATATGGCATAGGATTCGAGCTATTTCTGGGGAAGCCCTGTAGGAGGGAGGGGGCCAATTCCACGTAAAGCTCTTGCTAATACGAAAATATGGCGGACCTCCAAAAATCAAGTTACAAGCTCAATTCCTTGGGGGGGGAATTTTTCCAGTCCCCATAGGATTAACATAGGAGCATGATATTTTAGTACTTAAGACTTCGACATGCCTACACAATGAAGCAGATGACTGGATGGGTTTCAACGAGTGGAACACTTGGTTCAAATCTCAAGTCCGATATTCGAACAGGAGCCAAGATATTGTGAATTTAAACAAACTGAAATAGTTAAGACAATTAAAAACTATGGAAGAAATAGCCCTATAAGCATGAAGCCCTATAAGCATAACTGGAAGAGCAGATAGAGAAAGATCGAATGAGCCATGTCCTACCAGACTGTGAGGCTCGAGTGTCGAGATATTGGCCAAAAATCTGTAGAGGGGTTATAGTTCAGTCGTAGAACATTCGACTGCAGATCCAGAGGTCCTCGGTTCAAACCCAGGAACCCCCTTCTTCAGGGACGTAAAGAGAAATAATTTTTTGGGATTTTTGAAGGCGTGAATGATCTGTCCCGTTCTAAATATTTCTAATCAAAGCTACGGAACGCTAAGCAAATGTTAGCTGACTCGGGGGTATAGCTCTGTGGTAGAGCATTCGACTGCAGATCGAGAGGTCCCCGGTTGAAACCCGGGTGTCCTCTTCTTCAGGGAAATGAAGAGTAAAATTTTTTTTGAGAATTTCGAAGGCGAGAAATATCTGTCCCGTTCTGTATGTTTCTAGACAAAGCTTTTTCGTATCCGTTCCTACGGAAAACAAAGCAAAGTTTCGCTGTCGCGGGTGTATAGTTCAGCGGTAAAGTGAAGATTGAAAGGTCTCCGGTTCAAACCCGGATGTTCTCTTCTTCAGGTAAGTGAAGAGAAATATTTTCCTGAAAATTTCGAAAGCTGCAATGATCTGTAACGTTCTGTATATTTCTAGACAAAACATTTACGCATCCGTGACGGTTTCGCGTCACATCCGTGACGGTGTGCGAGCGCATCGTAAAAATTCACCCTCATCCTATTTCTCTAACGCCCCAAAAGAAGTATAACTTCAATATTCGAAAATTTCATTAATTCTTACATATAACAAGTATAAATTCGTCGAAATACTAAAGAATTTTTTTTATGCGGCCGCACAAAAATAAAATAGCGTAAAAAAGAACCGCACAAAAACAGGTTCTACTGTATATAAAAGTGGGGTTGAGCATGTTTTGTGGCCAGCTGACTTTCCCCTTTATGTTAATAATACTGAACAACAACTTATTGAAAATAATGGATAGAATATCTAAATATATTACAAGATAAAGATAACTTACCTAAAAATTGCAATTCAAAACTGCAAAGCCATTCGCTAAATCTGAGTACAATAAATAAGTTACTGCCAGATTCTGAACCCAAATGCAAATTCAAAGCATGAGAATGGCTGAATTGTAGCACTTAACAAAGTATGAAAATAACAGAATTAAAAATTAAAGAGTGAGTTTACAAACATAGCCATAACTATAGTGATACTCTAGGGTTATATATCAATTATAAAATAATAATAAGTAATTTTATCTAATATTAGAATATGGAGATAACTATATCTAGGAAAAATGATAATTTATAATAATAAACTATTATTATTCTAAGAAATTTTAATCCTTAGTATTTAGAATTTCCTTGTTCAAATAACTATTAATAAAATTAATTGGGTATTTCTGAATTAAGCAATATTTAGTAAAATGTTTATAGTTTTTTATTTTTTCTGATTTTTTTGAAACTAGAAATTTATTGTGTTGTATATAATTAATAATAATATTTCTGAATATAGGAACATGTATCTTAATCTCCCTATGAAGAATTTTTATAATATTGAAATTAAATTCTCTTCTCTTTTATCATAAATTGTAGTAACTATAATATTATCTTTTAATTTGATATGGATATCAAGAAAATTTGCTTCATTGTTGTTACTATTTGTCTGTATTAAATTAAGATATTGTGGGTAAAAATTTAGGTTTGTGTTAGGTTTAAAATTGTCTTGCTTGCCAAAAATTATAATATCATCTATATAGCGAAAAATGTCATATATTCAGAATTATTAATGAAACTATTTTCAAAATAATGTAAATATAAATTATCAAGACAGTTGCTAGCAGGGGGCTCCTTTGTGGCAAACCTTTAATCTGTTGATAATAGTTGGACTATTTGTAACTGTCCTAAACTTTTTTGACTGGGTCTTTATGAAATTTAGGAGCAAAAATTTTTATGGAAATTTAAAACTATTATATTAATCTGTGTTCTTAATTGTTTATGAAAAGCCAAAATGCGATTATTTATTTCACTATCAGAAACTGATGACTAAATAAAAGCTGTGTTATTATCAAAATATTTGTTGATCATTAAACTATAATGGTATTTACATATGATAATTCAAACCAAGACTCTTTGGAAAATTTGCGTGGTTCCTTGTATTTATCCTATCGTTATATTAATGTCTGTTGCTTATGCATACTTTTGTGTTCTCTGTTGTACCGTCTAATAAGTGTAATAAAAAATGCAATACCCTGCTACTAAATGATTCCTCATCCATCCAAAGTCCTCACTTTTGCTCTTGGCCAAATGATCAATAATTATTGAAATGAAATCATACACATAGATACACTGCCAATTTAACGAGCCCCTATTTAACGAATCTCGCGATTTAGCGAATGTTCTCTTTCCCTGATTAAAATAAAAGGAAAAAAAGAACCTATTTAACGAATAATGTACCCCGAATTAACGAATTATTTTAGCAGCTGGAATTTTTTTTTATTAATTTGTACTAGAAAAAATTGGATTTTTATTCCAATCCCTTTTGTCGGGAACAGAAAACTACTTTTCCTGTTTGTATCAAATTTCAACGAGAATGGGTGGAGTTCATTATTAGAGGAGTCATGACACCGCAGCCGATATTTTTATACATTGGATGTCTATTGGAGAGACTGAAGTTGAGAAAAGGGTTGATTTTTCAGAGCCAATGAAAAGCGATTCTAATGATAATAAAACTCCTATCAAAACAAACTTTCTAATGTTTTACATTTTTGGAAACATACCTAGCTTTTCTAGAGCAAGATGTAAATTATGTAGCATTTCCTTATCTGAGGAGAGTTGAAAAAGAACTCTTTCCAATCAAGAATCGATTCAGATTTACAATCATCTACTTGTGAGTATTTTATAATTTCCAATTAACTGATGCTTACTAATAGTATTTTGAGCTGTTGAATAAAAAGCCGGTCATTTCTAAATGAGGATATTTTTTGTGTAGTTACTTTTTATAGAGCTTCCAAAAGGTAAGTGCAGAAAATTTGTATTTTGTATGTCATTGTATTTTGTATTTTGTTTGCCAGGCACCTTCGTATTGTTCTAGAAGACACAGGGGAGATATGCAAATCATTAGAAATGCAGCATGATTGCGCCGGCAGAGGACATTTAACGTCATTCTACGTGGAGTGTGAAACAGGTAACCAAAGCTTGTGTGAGTGAGCAGAATCGTTTACAAAGAAAGAACTGAGTTATACATGCCATTACGCCGTTTTCGAAGACAATATGAGCAGCTGTCACAGTTTGACAAGGAGAGAATCATCGACATGATGGAAGCTGGGAGGTCAGCTAGGCGAGTATCTTGTCAATTAGGCCGCTCTGAGTGTGTTGTGAGGAGGTGTTGGGACCAGTGGATCCAAAAAATGTCATTTATACGAAGACCATGCTCAGGACGCCCTCGAAGACCAGTCGCCACATCGTAAGAAATGCACGCGTACTGCCAACTGCTTCATAAGCCGCCATCCAGGCACAAGTGGCACCTTTACTAGGAACCCCTGTGTCTTCTCGAATCATACGGAGGTTAAGGACATTTGGGATCGCGGCACCCATTTCGTGTACTACCCTTGACGCCTATCCATCGACGCCACCGTTTGGAGTGGTGCCACGCACGAGGAATCAGGACTGCAGCGGAATGTAACCAGGTTGTCTTTAGTAACAAATCCAGATTCAATCACAACAGTGATGGCAATAGTGTTCGTATGTGGAGATCCCGTGGTAAACACCTCAATCCTGCCTTTGCCTTACAGCGACACACTGCTCCCACAGCTGGTGTAATGGTATGGAGTGCTATTGCCTACAATACAAGGTCACCCTTAGTATTGATCCGTTGCACTATAACAGCCCAGCGGTATGTTCATGACATCCTGCAACCAGATGTGACGAGAATTTTGTAATGACGTTAATATAGAAATCAGACACACACACACACCAGGTAGGGCAGATAGCAAGAGGGGAAGGGGAATTTCCATGAGAATATGTTATGCATTTAAAAATGTTCATGCAACGCCGGGGGAAATAAACCTGTATGATAAAGAAAAGAAGCGAAAAAAATTTCGAAAGAGGGAATTTTAAGTTATACACTCAATAAAAGCCCGAGAAACGCCGGGTTAAGCGGATGGGAAATAAAACAAAGTAATATTGAAAGAGAGAATATTGGAAGTGTTGATTTTTTGTGAAGAGAAGGGAAAATTGATAAAAGTCGAGAAAGCCCATGCAACGCAGGGGCCTGCAGTTAGTAATATTCAGAAGTCATGCCATAAAGAAATGAAAATATTATGCATTCATTCTCTCGAGTTGGATGCTTATTGATATTTTATTTCGTACTTAATTGTTGCTGTTGTTTTTACTTTACATGTATATTATTTTGACATTGTAAAATGTCGTGTTTTACAGTAGATGGGCTGAAATTCTTTCTTTGTAAGCAAATGTATTTCATATAAAGGTTTGTGACATTTAGTATATATATATTTTTTTATTTAGAAATTTTTGGTAATTATGAAAAAATTTAACTGTTATTTGTAATATTTAGAGATATAGTTTCCTTTTTGCTGCTTGAGAATATCCATTTCAGTATTAATGTTAGAGGAATATCCAGTCACAATAGAATTTAAAAATGCATTAAATATATAGTAATGAATTTCTTAACGTGAAATAAAATTCACATGTTTTATTTACTTATAGCATATTCATGTAATGTTAAAATTAAATGCCGCTAAATGTAGTATAAGAAAATAACTGTAACTGCTATTTTAAACTGGCTATCAAATAAGAAATGTCTATGTTCCTGTACGGGAGAAATTTTTATAAAAAAATTTAATTTGTTTCCGTACTGCATTTTATAGTTTATTTCAATCTTTTTTACAAAAGCCCATTTCTTAACATGAGATTTATTTTTTTAATTTTTCTATACAATAATGAAATAATACTTTCTTTATTTCTAAACTTTGGGGAAAATTATTTCTAAAAAAAAATTTGAAACATTTGTAATTACAAAGTTAGTAAAACAAACGAAGGTATCAAATATTAGTCCTTTCAAATATCTTTTAATGCTTCACATTGAATAGATAAATTGTGTGGAATGATACATAACATCATATAGCATAGAAATACCAATAGAATTATTTTTATAAAACTACAATATGCAATGGAAGGGGATAAAAACATTTTCATCAAAGGACACATCACTACATGAAGCAAAACTTTTCATACTGACAAACTCTATTGTTCTATAAGCACTAATATCAAAAAGATGGAAAAACTAATATCTCTTTTTTAAAAAAATTTTTTTACAAGTTTCAACTATATTTCAAAACCGTTTGTGGTAATGGTAAATCATACTATTACATCCCTTTAAAACCCAAAATATTTTTATCGTTAAATATTAAATTCTACTGGTTATTAATACTATACGAACACCAATGACACTAGAAAAATAATAAAAAAAAT